GTCGAAGCGATCGGCGCTTTTGCTAAACATATCCAATGGAATAGATATTACTTTATATTGAAATATTATGTCAATCAACTGATCCAACAAAAAGGAGACCAAAAACTCAATATAAAAGTAGTTTCTTGTATTTTGGATAACTTTAATTTCAAAAGTTTAGTCCACTCTCAAGAAGACGAAGTAATGGATACTAATGTTAGTTCAAACACATCCCAAACCAATGATAAGATTTACGATTCGGCTGTCAATGTATTGCTACCACTTCTTCACAAATGTTTGCACCAAAAATCGCAAATAGATTACGCATTCGATTCGTTGAAGAATGAATACTCGGAAGACGATGAGATCCAAAGAGTTCCCATTGCTTTGGCTATAATTAAATTATTGAAATCAATGAATTGTAGTCAACAAGTATTGAAGTCAAACATATCGAGTGTTTTCCTTCGTTTGTGTCAATTCTTACAGTCGAGGACTCAGAGTATTAGAGATTTGGCGAGGAATACGTTCGTCAAAGTGATGGACACTTTGGGCGCAAATTATTTAATGGAAGCGTTGAGTGAATTGCGTTCATCACTGGCTAAAGGATATCAGAAACATGTCTTTGTTTATACCGTTTACACAATTCTCGCAAACATGAGAACACAATTAAAATGTGGAGATTTGGATAAATGTATGGATTGTTTGCTAGAAGTTTGTTCTCTCGAACTCTTCGGAAACCTATCTGAAGAAAAAGACGTCTCAAAAATCGCCACTAAATACAAAGAAGCGAAAAAATTTAAGAGTTTTGAAATTTACCAAATCTTAGCCACTTTTGTAGCGCAAGAAAGTGTGACTAAATTAATAACACCGTTGCGGACAACTTTGTTGAGCGCACAGAATCACAAAGTGGTGCGAAAAGTGTCGCAAAGTCTTAGTAAAGTCGGTCAGGGATTGATTTCAAACTCAGGACTCACAGAAAAATCAATTTTAGAGTTTACTTACCAATTGATTAGCGATACGATAGCCGATAGAAATGTGAAAATTAATGGCAATAATAGCGATTCAATTGATGTTAAAGTGAAAAGAATCGATTCGTTTATCATTGAGAAACCCATTTATCAAAGAACTGAAAAAGTGTCCAAAATTGGCGAGACTTCTAATTCACACGTTATGATTGAGTTTTGTTTGAATTGCTTTTTAGCATTAATTAAACAAAAAAGAATGCAAACGTCAACTGAAGAGCATTTACCACTTCTCGATCCCTTTATACCATTATTAGAGACAATACTGAACTCTAAAGATGCGAAACAAACCACACTTTCACTGCAATGTCTGTATCTAATGTATACCAAGTTTGCAGTTTTGCCCTCGTTTTCAACGCATTCAGAAAATATAATGAAAACAATATTTGTTTTGCTCAACAAATACGCAAACTTTGGGATCAAAGATAGAGAGGACGAAAACGTTCAACTCGTTTCGCTTTGCTTTAAAACTTTGAGTTTATTTCTCAAAGACAGGACTGATGTGGCCATCAATGATGAACAGATGGCCGTTCTTTTGTCATATGTTGACCAAGACTTAGACAGTGATTCCCATCAGACGACTGTCTTTATTATATTAAAGTCTATTATTCACCGAAAGTACAATTCGAGTGCATTTCATCGTATTATGAGAAGTGTGGCCGAAATGGCCATCACTTCACACATGGATTCCATACGAAGCACTTGCGGGCAATTATCTGTGAAATATCTAACCGAATATTCTCAGGCAAACCAATTGACAAAACGCGTCAATTTCTTCATTCGTCATCTCGAGTACGAAGCGATCACTGGTCGGGAGTCAGCCCTATATGTGCTCAATCATCTCATCTCAGACCTGAGTTACGATTATTTGCATCAAAATATAGCCGTCTTTTTTGTTCCGCTTTCCTCTCGATTAGTCAATGAGACGGAAAGTGAGGCCAAGAAATCAGTGGCCGATTCGCTCATTAAACTATTGAAGCGAATTACACCTAAAGATAGGGACGATTTGTTTAACGATATGATTATTCCATGGCTTAAATCAGAACCACTTTTGCAAACACTGTTGGCCTCACATCTGTGCTCACTCTTGCTATCGGTTGAGAATAAGGACTTCATTAATCGATTGCCACATTTGTTGCCATTAATTAAACAACAATTAGATCCGACCCGATATGACAGCCCTTCACATACAGAGGCCGTCTCCCCAGCAAAGAGTGCCGATAGTATTGTTTATCAACATTTAAATCTGTTTATAAAAATAATGAAAGTTGAGCCGCAGTTCATTCAGAAAAGTCAGTTCATCGATGATGTGAATGCAATATTAGATTATGTCTTAACTAATCATATATTACATCCACACCTTTGGGTTCGTGTGCTTTCGACACAAATTTTTGGTCAACTTTTCTCTCAATATTCGACTGAATTTTTGGCAAATTCTATAACAAATCCGACAAAAAGTAATGAATACTTAATATCGGAAACGAGCGATAAATTAAGACAATTGGCCACAAAGTTCTGCCTTTTGTTTCGCGACATTTATAACGCTAACGTATTGAGCGATCAATTGATTAAAAATCTAGTTTTTATTTCAAGAGTTTTTATCCAATCGTCGGCAGAGAATTGCGATGATTTGTCATTTAAATGGTTAACTAATAAATTAGTTTTTGAAGTGAAGTATGAATTGAAAGATAGCCCACAATTGACTAAAAAACGGATGTGTTTTTTCAAATGGATGGCAGCGATAGCCGTCGAACTGTCCACCGATCGATTGGATGATTATTTGCCAAACTTTTTACCACTCCTTTGTCGTGAAGAGTCGAGTGCTGACAATACATCTGAGAACGAAGTTTTAGTTCTCACTAAACAAGTTCTCCAACTCTTTAAGAGTATTATAGGAACTGAAAAATTCAGTGAATTTTATACTAAAGCCAAAACTGAGTTGACTCTCAAAAGACTCGACCGCAAGAAAAGCCATGCGATTCAGGTTTGAATACTTTTTATTTTATATGACTTTTAATAACTTAATTAATAATCTTTTATTTTACATTATTTTTGCTCAATTAAAACAGTCAGTGAATGATGTGATGAAAAGTTCGAAAAGGAAAATAGAAAAACACCACAAAAACCAAATGTCAAAGAAGAGGAAAAATGCAAACTTTAAAAATAAAATGTAATTGAAATAAAATTATAAATAAAATATTGATATTTTTTGTAATCGATATTTAAGACTAAATCATTGTCTAACCAAACAATTCAGAGAAATCATTAATCAATAAAATAAATTGAAAAACGTCTAAAAGCACAATACAGTACTATACAGTATAACAATTAATCCCATTTCATATTTAAGTAATAATTAATGATTCATTTATAATACTGATTCTGTCAACTGATCGTATGGTTCAATGAATGTATTAGCAATCTAGCACTTGTTCTCTACGGTTGACCCAATTAATTGATTCAATAATTAATGAGCAATTGATGTATTGGCCAAACGGATCCATTGTTGTCTTTTGCGGTTACTTTTCATTATAATATGTATAAACTTTATGGCCGATTATATTCATTAATGATTTACAATAACAACTCAAAAGGCATTTATTTAAAATTGATTTATTGTTCATTTAAAATCTCAATTGAATTGTTTATACAAATTGAAAATTCATCACAATTTTTAATAACATCATATAAATTACAAATTTATGTATAAAATTAATATTACATTTATATTTATAGATTGAACTAAAATTAATGTATTTTTTGATGAAGTGTTCAACTTTTAAAATTAATAATTAGATTTTAGCTCTAAATTAGTTTTGCTTTTCTCTTTATATATTTATATAATAGACATTCTATTGACTCATTAAACGTTTAATTCAATTACATTTAAAAACTAAAAAGTGTGAATATATTTTGCAAAATATATTCACTTTAATCTCTAAAATCATTTTTTAAAAATAAATTCTTAATCATTAAAAAATATTGTATTTTTGAGCCTTTTTTCACAGAGTTTTTCAACGATTTGGCGGAAAGTATTGAATAGTTTGAAATGTAAAACTATATATCATTTAATATATAAAAATCAATTTATGGATTGTAAGACTGACTGACTTATTGACTGAAATCTGCAAAACAAAACCTCATCTTTTTTAGTAACTTAAGGAATGTTTTTACTTTTAAAATAATTTTTACTTTATATTTAACAGTACATTAATCTGTGATTAACACCCAATTATTAATATTTCGTTTTACATTATAAATAATTTATACAAATTTATAAAAGCAAAGCAATTAAAACAAGAGATTATTTAACAGTGTATTTAGTAGTCAGAGGATTGTCTTCGGCTTTAATTTCAATGATGAGCCAAAAAATGTCGAAATGAATAGAGTTTTGTAATCTTTCTCTCTGTGTCTCTGTCTTTCATTGTGTGCACACATTGACAGCGGAAATAAGTGTTGATTATTAGGGCGTCTGACGTATGACTAGCTCTGCATTATATCTCATTTCTTCCAATATATATAATATATATCTACAACACATACAGTATATCATGAATTGATCCATAGGTCGAGCACTCCATCAAATTTTCTGTCCACAAAATCCCATTTTTCTTTTAAATCGAAATAACTTTCCGATTCATACCTTCTTTGCCATCAATTTATTATACATTTAATAATTTAAAATTCTTGAAGATTTTGAGTTCTCTTCATAAAGAGATGAGTGGCGCGCAAATAGTGGTCGTTATTATGATTTGTTTCAAGTCATACAAAATAGTGATTGATTTTCACAATTTTTACAATTTCTTAATTAACTTGAAATGACTGAATGAAGTGTTCATTAGATTCCGGAATTTGGATGCAATCATACCATTATTTTTTTTAATTATTTCATTTTATATCAAACGCTATGAAATATTAGCACAAATTCCCAGATTTATAGTTGAGCTGCGATTCAATTAATTAATAACTATCGAAATTGTGATCACATAATCATTGTGTTCAGTAGTGGACGTCCTGGACGTCGGCCACCGAATCCTTCTGTGAGCAGTCATCGGAATCGATAACGTGTTGCTTCAGTCCATACAATTGAGGACTGTTTGCATAGCTATGAACTCTCGGTTCCATATATTTTTGCGGATAATTTTCAGTATTTTCGTCTTTGATGTCAGGTGTATGCGAAGCCATTATGCGCTCGATTTGGAGCTGACATTCACGCAACAGATCCTACAAAAGCAATTCAATTCTCAATTAGACATAACATACAGATTGGCTCAAAATATTTCCATTTAAATCAATCAAACAATTGCTAACTTATATACAAAGAGAAAGGAAAGGCAGAAACTATTGCCCGAAAGGATACGTCCAAAAATGCGACTAACAATCGGAAGCTTTGATTTGTTAGTTGTTTTTATTCGTGTTTGTGTTTGCAATCAGTTGTGTTTGTTTTGGGCTTAATTTCAAGAAAGTGTGGTTTCTTTAAATTAAATAAATGTTTTTTTGCGCAAAAAAGTGTTGAATTGTAGGGAAAGAGAGTAAACGAATGGTACCAATACTAACCAACCCTAACCAACACTACACTCCCGTAAGTTCTTGGAATCAAATGGAGTTTAAATTCAAAGAATAGTTTCATTAAACACACCATAAGAACACACAAGCCTTATAGTACTGTTGCCATTCCAGTACTCCCTATGGTTTGCTTGCCATTCATTCACATCTCTCTCTCTCTCTCTCTCTCTCTCTCTCTCTCTCTCTCAAACAAAGAGCAAAGAGAACCGAAAGCTTTAATTCTTATTAGCATTCCCTGAATTTTTCTTATATGGGACCCAAATATATGTTGTAAAAACTATAACGATATAACGACTAATACTATAAAGTAGTCATTAAATTAATAAAAATAAAGTGATTCTCTATTCCAATACTGGTATTGAAATGTTCCGGTATTTCATTGTTTTCGTCAAATGTTTCAACAGTTTTAAAGAATTTTGAATTTAGGACCTCTTAAGAGGCAATAGTTTAAAGCCTTAGAAACATTAAGCGATTGTAAAAAATTATACCAATATTTTGAGAATTTTTTTTTGGGTCTATTGTTAGGGAGAAACTAATGGGAAACTTAACACTCATATTATGCCCGAAAAACACTGAACTAATATTTAATAAAATTCGCTTTAGGGGAACAACACTCCAAGCAATTGAAACCCTGAACACTTGAGAAAGAAACTTGTAGTTAGAGAGAGAGAGAGAGAGAGAGAGAGAGAGAGACCCGGAGATGGATTTGAGGCGATATTTTACATTTAAATCAAAACAGCAATAACTCTGAGAACAAGTGGCGGTCCAAATATGTATGGCTAGTAATGAGCGGAGCGTCACTTGTATGGCAAAGTTGAATAGATAACTGTGAGCAGTGTTGCTGTTGATGGGGGACTGGTATGGGACTGGTATGGGAGGCGTGGTGTAACCCTATTCCAAAAGTATACATGATTGTAATGCCTAGACTACTGGATGGCGGAGCGCCTGTCGGCAGCTATAAAGTTGGAATTTGGAAATTGCCTCCCATTCCTCTCCATTCCTTGTGAGCCCTGTTTGCATGGTTTGCATGAAAACCTTCACGCAGTCTTAGATTGCAGACAAAGCTATATAAGCCATGTAAGCCATGGCCGGCCACAGCGCCACTGCAGCACATTGTGTGCCGACGACGTGAACAGTATTTCCCACCCGAGAGGGACACTGAGGGCCAGCTCTACAGTCGGTCACTACTAATCACAATAGCGTTCAATTGAATGCAATTCCATGTAAACCAATGGAATGCTTGTTTCCATCGGTTTATTAGTTATAAAACTAAACTAAACTCATAATTGAAGTGAAGTGAAGGCAACACTTCATCGACTCATTTGCAAAAACAAACTCAAAGTCTGTTTTCTTGTTGTTTTTGTGCGCATCAGAGGAAGAATGTCTCAAGAGATGAAAGAATGGCTTTCCGAGTGTTACGTCATTGTCTTTATGTATTGAGCGCTAGTATTGGTGGCACTGGTATTGAGTTGTTTGGGACGGCCGTGAAAGTGGCGAATATAGCAAATATTGTATAGTGTTGTGAGACTCAGGTCTGAGTCGTGAGAATTTGGAAATCAAATCACAATTCTATAGAGTATTGAGTATAGAGTAGAGAGAAGTAGAGGAGTAGTGAAGTAGTGGTGCTGAGGGTCAACATAATCATCGATCTAATCAAAAGATAGACGACCAATGGCTTGCCTCCACTCGCATAGCATACCAGTCGACTCTAACATACGTGCCTTGAATTGAGATTTAGGTTTGCTTTTTATAACTCACACAAAAAATAACAATTTGTGTGCTTATAGTGAGCGCACCTTTTATTGGCACCAAAACAAAGAGATGTCACGAATTCACACCCCGTGGGCACAGATCGGCCACAGATCTAACTCTCAAATCTATACACTTATTCACCTGACATGAAACCTACCGAAAAACGTATTATTGTCTCCACTTATCAGTCTTTTTAATTATTTCTAACTATATATCAAACTTTTGTCTCAAGGAATAAATTGCTTCACATTCTGCGATAAAATAATCTTTTGTACGTAAATAAAGTATTTATGAATGATATTGAATTGGATTTCACTTTCAATTTATTGATTGCAAACACATTAAAGAGAAGGAGAGGGGAGAGAGAGAGAGAGAGTGAGTGAGTGAGAGATTAATTGGATGTCATTTAAGTGTATTTCCTTTGTTTAATTGCATTGAAAGGAAGCCGTAATTATAGTGTAGTGAAGATAACTAATATTGATAGAAGTCTTACCAGTTCTATGCCAGTGATTTGATGCAATTGGAAAATCATAGGTATTGAATAACAGAGATTATTGTTCTCCAGTCTTGTCAGCCCTTCGATGGCAGTCGTAATGCTGGCCGCGGCCAACATCGATGACGGGAACATCGAGAATGTCCAGTCTGTTAATCATAATGAATACCAATTGATTAATGTATGCTTTATTAGTGTTGATCTCAGTTATGGTTTTGTGGGAAGAAATGCTGAGAAAAGATTGTTTACATCAATAGATCGGTAATCATCAAACACTAGCCCTTCCTTTCATTCATTAGACAATGTAATCGTTTGAATGAAGTTTAATATTTCATTCCTCAATGACCTCTACCTGTGCTATGTATTCATTCAAAGAATTTGAATCCATGTCCGACTACAAGAGTCCACAAATGGAGTAAAAGTGCACATATTATAGTGAATAGAGAGAGAGAGAGAGAGAGAGAGAGAGAGAGAGAGAGAGAGAGAGAGAGAGAGAGAGNGAGAGAGAGAGAGAGAGAGAGAGAGAGAGAGAATGTGTATTTGAAGCAAATTCTCACTACAATTCTCAAGCATTCATATAGTGAGCACACAATCCCCGCCCAAACTTCCTTTCCCGAGAGAAGCGACTCCACAACCACTACCTGTTGAAGAGGAATGTGTGGAACTGTTGTTGCTTTTCCATACGTTCCTCTAACCTAAATCCACATCAACGCTAATATCTGCCTCTCACACACATCCACATACCTCTGAGCACTGGCACTGATCTGCTCTTCAATTATTTCAATTTCCATCATTAGATACAATAACACAGGTATAAAGGGAACAGAGGGAACAGGTATAGAGACAGGTATATACAGGACAGGTATAGAGTAGAATATAGTAAAATGTGTACTTCAATGGAGTGCTCATTATCTCTATGTATAAATATTGACAATATTCTTATGCAATGACAATAGCATATGAAGGCATCCCACGCATAGACTAGAGCCTGGGATGGGATGCTATGGATAGTTTGGAGTCAGGTGCCAGTTCTCACTTTTAGCATATGTTTGATGTTCACAAATATTTTTTAATAAGTTTATTTATGAGCACTCATTCAGTGGTTATCTATTTCATTGATAGGATATATTATATGAATGATAGCACTGAAGACTGTGAGACATAGCGTAGGAAGAAATGGCGGCTTCAATGCATAAAAGGGTTGTTTAGTCCCTCATCACAGATACTAACTTCAATCGTCTAAAACAGACGCCACAAACCAGTGATAAGTTTGTCTCTCAAGGAGTGCCGTTCACTATATGTTAGGCTGTAATTCAGTTATATTTCCTTTTTATGATTACTCAGTGTTTAATAATAATACTGATTATTATTGAAATAATTAAATACTTTTTCAACACATTTGCAAAAGTTGTGTAAAGAGGAAGTCTGAACGCATGTATTTCTCACGATATAAAGTTTGTGTTTTATTATTTAATTGATACCAATTATAAGTGATTTCTCAGATGTTTCATAAGATTGTATGACATTCGCAAACATTCAGACATTTCAAATTGATTTCATTCAATACTACAGACCATAATATTACTCCCATTAACACAGACTAGTCTATAGGCTATTGTATTTCAATACAAGAATTGAATGCTATATATTCAAGAATCCGGTGTTGAATATTATGAATGAGTTTATGAATGAAATGCAAAATGCGTTAAACTGTACAGCGATTAGGATCTACACCAGGAATACTAACAAATAGACCATTTGATATATTCATCTTACTATAAAATAATCAAATAAACGATTAATTAATTGAGAGTTTGGCAACAGTGAAGATGAAGGGAAAGTTCGTCGCCCTAGCAGTAGGTCATTGTGCAAACATAATCATAATCTAATGTCAACAATAGATAATAAATAAGAAATTTTTTTCCGTGTTTATATTTTTTCCTTCAAAATTCTCTCTTTTTATAACATTAGTCTGAACTCAACGATAGAAAGTAAGCAAATGTTATGATTGACTAAAGATATTTGTTTTGCACTTATTATTTATAAAATATTTAGAAAGTTTTTTCGGAAATATAACTGAGAATGTATTTAAACAATTAATAAGTTAATTATATTAACACTGAATTAATTATAACAGTATAAAAACTGAGACTAAAACATTAATGTAATTATCGTTTTAGAATTTTATTGTTTTTATGTTAATTTTGAAAACAATAAAATACTCAACACTTAAGATATTAAAAGGTTATAATTATATTCAGATAATAAAAGATATGAATGTGTTTTCACTTTCAATGTTATATAAATAATGTCAAAACACTTTCGCTTTTATACATTCCAACAAAAAAGTTCACAATTTATAAATTAAATCATAAAATCTCATATAAACATGTTGTAACAGTTATTATGGATAAAAATTTATCTAATTTTTTACTACATATAAATCCTGAAAATATTTTGAATACAAATTATTTAAAATTCCAAAAACATCATTAAATATTACTAGACTTAAGACTAATGCTAAAACATTCATTTAAAACTGGTATTAAATGTATTTTCTAAATGAATGCATAAAACTCTAACGTAAACCAAAATATTTAAGAAACCCTTTGAATAAATATTTTGATACAAATCTATTTAATTAAAAAGCTATAAAAAGTTTAATTCAAATAAATTAATGTCTGAATTTGTATTACAATTATTCCTTTCAAAAAAATATTAGTTTTTTAAAAAATAAAAAATGTGGGAATTTTCGAGTAATAAATATATATTTTGTATATATTTTGATAACATTATGTATATAATTGTAATTTTGATCAAATGATAATATTTGCAGTCAAATGATTCAATAAAATCACAACATTATAACTTGTCGTGTACTCGTCCCGGGACTGGATGTCTGCCTTTGCTCAGCCGTCCCGTCCGTCCAGTCACACAACATTCCCTTTCGCTCTTATGTATGCATTAATATAAAGTTTTTTTTATTATAAATTACTTGAATTTGAAGATAGAAAAAGACCGCAATTACAGCATAAAGACACTTGAGATGAGACGCAAAGAAAATAAAGTAATAATTGATATGTGGATTTAGTTAGACCCCCATTTCCCCCTCCAGTCACTGTATATCACCATAAGTTTTTATACACACGATTACATGCAATGAAAAGTCGCCTTATATTACATAATCTTCAGAAAATTGTTGTCAATGTATTAGAACTTAATGTTTAGTAAATATTGAAAAGTTTTACTCATATAACGAATGAATAATTGATAGCATATAACAGAATATAAAGAGTATATAAAGAAAAGTGGAGACAATGAGACAATGGATGTATTGGGTGCGGATGGCCTTACCTGCAGCGCATAATGCAATGAAAGTTTGCGCGTGTTTTTTGATGAGTTTGTGCACTTCGGATACTTTTGGCCATTTGTGAAGTCTTCTGAGAAGAATGTTTAAAAAGTCGTTTGGAGTGATTGCTGCCAAATCCCACTTCAGTCTATTCAGCACTAATAACTCCCAGCCCTAGCCATAGACAATCAAATTGCAAAATATGAATTAAATTTGACAATAACGCGTTAAATACTCATATATTTATATAGTGTATTCAATAAAGCTATAGTCTCTCTATTTGTGTGTACTCTTTGTGTTTATTTAAACAAATTCTTGATATGATATGACAAACAATAGAAGTAAAGTAAATGTTAAGGTGTTTGCAATGAGAGCGCATTCTTTGATAGACCTAAACATAAGGCTTTTTATATCTTATGTAACACTTGGTATCACAGGTGAGTAGAAAATACAAATTTCATTCACCAAATTCTTGAGGGATCGCAACTGCAGGGAATGCGAAGGGAATGATGACAACAATAGTGAAGGGTGCCGGTCGTGCCGGTCGCATGTCTCTCTGTACTCAACATATCATACAATACAATAACACAGTCTATTCTTTCGGTCGCATATTTTTATCAGACCATAAGAAGGGCATAAGAAGGGCCTTCCGGTGCGTAAGTACTTTGAGGGAAACATTTCGACAAAAAAATAAAATACAATCTTATAGTTAGTGCTCCGATTGTGAGCACCTTTTTTCGGTGGTTGTCGAGTACAGTGCCGTACAGACCGTACTGTTGGTTGTGTTCACCTGTTCTTATGGAATGCAGGCATATATTTGAATGAGAGTGTAGTGTATGGCAGGTATGGTATGCCGAATGCACTGGCATTCCGTTCACAATGTATGACAAGTTGACAAAAAATTCAAACTCCTGTGAGTTATTCATTCAGGTATTTGATAACAGATGCGGAGTAAAGAAGCGGATGAGAGCAGGCATAGGGAAAGGCATGCACTTTACCACAAGAGAGAGAATGTGTTATTCATTTGGAGTAATGTATCCAATGGTATGGAAATGGTATGGAAATGGTTTGTGTAGTTGGTGTAGGAATGGTATGGAATCGTATGCTTACCATTAACTCGTCTATTGTGATAGACTTGTCTGTGTATACAATTAGTTTCTCGGCTGAAAGGGGACGCGTTTGCCTTAATTTGGAGGCTAAGAACAGGGAGACTGAGCCCAGTAATTGTAATTGACTTTTTCGGATTTTGACAATCGCTAGAAACCGGTCCAAAATATTCATTGCCAGTGGAAATACCTCTTCTTGACAGCGCTCTTCTTCACATACCTTCAAACAATTGATAAGAATTTAACTCAAACTGTAAGACAACAATCAAATCGTATAACAATAAAATATACTCAAAACCATTTCTCTCACTATTACTCGCTTTTCAAAGTTAAACCCATTTTATTTTATTTTTCACTAAATTATGCGATAATTTAAACAAATTTTTCAACAAATATTTGAGCAAAACTTTTAAATAAATCAATACAAAGGCAAGTCTTTTGTATTCAATTCCTGAGATTTACTTTTAGTATTTCTTTGTTTTCTTTGTTTAAAGACTTGACATTAAGAAAGCATTTCTGTTTCTAATTGATTCTCTGCAACAACGATAAGATCAATACTAACACTGCTCTTACATTAACATACATTCAATTAACATAAGCTATTTATAGGCTAAAAGTTCCACATTTTTATTCAATATCATATCTCTCTTCCTTTCGGTGATAAAGTGTTTTCTAATAAAAAAAACTTAATTTAAGTTTAAAAAACAAAATATCAGATAAGTTTCACTCGAGTTATTGTCTTTAACTAAACTAATGATAACTTCTAATATGAAATATGAATTTAACGCTCTATAGATTTAAATGTAAATTAAACTTAAAATAAAAATTATTATTCAATAAATTCAACATATGTTTTATTAAATGCATTAATAAAGAATTTAGCGAAAAATGTGGACAAAAGGTATGTATTGGTGTTGTTTGTATGGAAACAGGTATTAAATACACTGTATGGGAAAAAGGGTTGTACTTTTAGTTCACTATAAAGAGTTTGCATTAAAAGATTAAAATAACAGAATTTTGAATCAAAAGCATTGGTTTCAATCGCAAAGTGTTTCAAAGGTCTGACTGTAATGTTATAGCAATGAAATATATAATACGGGCAGACCTTTGATACTACGCTAAAGACAAAGAGAGAGTATGTGTGAGAGGTATGGTTATAGCAGGTGGTGATGGTGTGGATGTGTTTGTGGTGACAGTGAGAACACTGAAACATCGAGAAACAGGTGAGTTTGTGTAAAAGCTTACCTCAAGCATCCAATTCGCCACCACTTTCCTCATGTATGGCTTGAGTTCGGTTTGAAAGCACTTGAAATATGACGAAGAGATGGTATATCTCTCTTCGGTGAGCATCAGATTCTTAAGGATGCGGTCGTCGTCCAGAAAGACCGGATCACTCGTCGCTCGCGGCTCTCCCTTCACTTCTATGCACAACAGATCCATCGTTTGCGAAGATATTGTCTTCACATTCACTGAATAAATGTCTTATTAATACTCTCTTTAAGAAGAGTTTGAGGTTTAATAAAAAAAACTTTGTTTCTCTTAAAATCGACGTTAGCTTTGCTTTTATGAAACACAACGACTGAATGAGTGATTTGAGGGCCACTACTAACTCACTCTCACACAGTGTATACTCTGTACGAAACTACAGCCTCTCTCTCTCTCTCTCTCCCTCTTTCTCTCTTATTCTCTCTCTTTCTCTCTCTATCCGGTCTATGGGTCTGTCGTCCCAAACACACCAACACTAGTGTTTAGGCCTTTGAAGGCTATTCTCAAGACATGAATCAATTTGAGAAAACATCATAAGTTACAGTACAGCGCATGCGTGCAAACACTATCTCAACCGGTCTATTGCCCCGGGATATGACCACTCTTTCACTTGCTATGTGTGAGTTCTCACATTCAGGACACTCTCGTTATACCAAACACAGAGCAACACAATCGGTGCACAACACTAGTTAATCGCTAGCATTATTATATAATATTATTCTTTCAATACATCCATAAAAGAGTTTATAATTAAAATATTGATTAAAAATGTCATTCATATAATGAGTGTTTAGGAATTTGCGATGCATTATACAGTACCGGGTGTTTGAGTAGTGCGAAAGCTTATTAAGCATTATAAGTGTTTTAGTGAAATGGTCTTTGTCTGAGACCCGGGAAAGAGTGGTCATAACATAGCATAGCATTCATTATGTCAAACATTTACGACTAACGCATAATATTAACGCTCTTTAAATACTTTTCCCATTCAATAGAATGCTTATTATAATCAATGAATTTAATAACCACTCGCACACCAAATCATAGCATAACATACCATACATTTATACCATAATAAAACTTTATTCAATCAATTGTAAAATAAATCTTTATTTTAAAATAAAAATTAAGTAATTGTTATTTTGGGCCACAAATGGGACTCTTGTGTCCATTCATACAATTAGACAATACTTTGCTTTATTATACACTAATATATATACAATTCATATCAATTAACGCTAAGATTCTGATTAAAGTTAAGACTCTTCGGCATCAAAACTGAAGTCCAAATCAATAAAGTTATTGTAATTCGCTCTACAAATAGGACTCAAATGTGCGATACGTTTAGAGAGAGAACTCTTCCGCCAATCGGGAGAATAAATGGGAGACAAAACGGTTTGGCTATCGATTGTGTCGAAAGCGCTGTCTTTTGAACAATGATTTCCAATCGTTTCCATCAAATAGTGATCGTCTCTAACAAACAGTTTCTTCTTTTGTCGAGATCTGGAGCACGTGTTCGGCGTTTTGAAGCAATCAATCGATATATCGTTACCACTGATGGACAACATCGAGGGCTCAGGCGTTTTGCTCATCGATTCGGACATCGGTTCGCATTCAAAGGATTGGGTGTCGAGTATAGACGCCATGCAGTGGTCGCTCACTTCGGACGAGTCATAACAGTCGGGATCAACCGTCGACTGTCTGATCGGTGTCTTCGGCGACGGAATGATCTCCTGTTGCGAGAAGAAGGCGTCGTTTTCTTCGTCCAATTGTTTGCTAAACCGTTGGTCGACTTCGAGGTATAGATCTCTGCCATCGCTGAGCGAGAAGTCCATCGGATCCAACGCCGCCTTGTGTTCAATGGACCAATTGAACGATTGGTCGAGTGGTGTGACTGCAGCCCATTTGCATGGGTCGGGTGTCTTGTAATTAGTTGTTCCGCATATTGTGGGCGAACAAAGACGCGGAAGCGATGACACGAACCGCATATAAGACAGTTGTCGCTCCAGACGATGAGTGCTCTGCGATGATTGGCTCCCGTCGGCCACCGGTTCACACGTGGGATCCATTCCGTGATCAACGCATGCACTCAATGGTGACCCAAATGATGACTACTCGCGGTGTGACTCAAAGTGTTGGATCACTCAATGGATCCATTGTTGGCAACAAAACAAGTGTTTCAAAACATTTTAAACCAAATGAACAAAACATTCAAAACATTCAAAACGTGCGGACAATGCATACCATAGGATAGCACTAAACATACGTACAATCGTTTAGAAATGTTTGTAGACATTCACAGCCATTGCTTCCATTTGTTGCCCTTTAGAGCAAACAATTGCTGTTAAATGTCTACAGAAATTACTGCACAAATGTATGCAATAAATAATACACCATTTGGTGCGCTATGCGAGACATTAACGACATCTGCGTTACAAATACTGCACTAAAACTTTAAAATTCAAAAACTTTTAAAATCCAATCATACACTTGACCCTCAATTTTATAACCTTCTGTTTTGTAAATAATTTCAGATTCCAAACATTTCTGTTAAACTGTAACGTTAGAGGATTTTATTTATGAATATAATTATAAAATTGTTCCTAGTGTACCTATACAATTACCAAAGCTATAATTGGCATTATTTATTCATTAATAAGGGTCAGATAAAATTGAACAAAAATATGTCATTATAAATATAAATGGTTTTTTAATATCACTTTTCCAATATCATCAAGAGCAGTTTTATTAAAAGCAATAACGATTGTAGCCAATGACAGCCCGTTATTGTATTGTGCATTTGTACACTGCTACACTTCTTTTTAAAAATTGCTCTTAATGATATTGGAAGTCATAAATTAAAATTACAACCAGAATTTCTAATCGGACTATTTTAATCATTTGAATTTTAAACTTAAATTCGTACTAAAAACTTAAATTATTTTTAGCACAATTTTATTTCACCCTTATATACAAATTGTATAATACAATACAATTCAATGTAGTATTTGTTTTGATATTTTCATTTACTTAGTCAATGAAAAATTCTAATCTAAATTAAATGAGTCAAATGATAAGTACAATATACTGTACTGTAATTTTTATTGGAATCAAAAGTCACAATTTGATTCTTGTAAATATTGTGCTCAAACTCGACAACAAGTGTTCATAAAATAAAGGAATTATTGTATTTTATGCGTTCACCAGTCATTTAAACAGTGAGTCATTGTGTTTGCGAAGACATTGACGTAATGTATGGAAAGTGTGACTATTTTTCTGGAAATTTCTATTTTCTGGAAATATCGACGCATTGGACGACTGTTTGAGCGATTGTTGAATGAATGCTCGGCTTTCGTAGAGTTGTGTTGAGTTGTGTTGCCTTCAGTCGAGTGAATGATTGCGTGCTTTTGAGTGCATTTCAGCTTTCATTGCATACAAAGCTCTCATCTATTGTCAACTCTTTGCCCGCCGTTTGACTGACCCGTGACTGACCGCTGACTCAATGGTGAAGGAGACGCAGTACTACGACATCCTGGGAGTGAAGCCCAGCTGTTCGGCCGACGACCTGAAGAAGGCGTACCGCAAGTTGGCGTTGAAATATCACCCTGATAAGAACCCAGACGAGGGCGAGCGCTTCAAACTGATCAGTCAGGCCTACGAAGTGCTGAGCGATGAGCAGAAGCGCCGGGTCTACGATCAGGGGGGAGAGCAGGCCATCAAAGAGGGCGGCAGCGCTGGACACGGCTTCTCCTCCCCGATGGACATCTTCGAGATGTTCTTCGGAATGGGAGGCGGAGGTCGCGGCCGACAGGAGAGGGGACCAAAGCGTGGCAAAGACGTGGTGTACCAGATGTCGGTCACTCTGGAGGAGCTCTACAACGGAACCACTCGTAAGCTATCGATTCAGAAGAAAGTGATTTGTGATAAATGCGAGGGAAAGGGAACGAAGAACCCGGCGGTCGGACCCGAGA